CCAAGATATGAATTCTTTCTCTAGAGCCCTAGAACTGCAAAAGAAATGTGTTTGATGTGGTACAGATGCTAAATCAAAAAAGCTTATAGAAAAAAAGGATGTTAATCTTGTTAACAATGGAAACCATGTTAATTTATACCTAATTAATCCTACTTCCCAAAGAAAGTCAATAGAATCTTAACTTCTTAGAATTTCTTTACTAAGGAATTTATGTTGTTCAAATTAACCCAAACTCCCTAACTTAGACTATTTTCAGGCTAGAATGTGTCTGTGATCATAAATTCCTTTTTAATTAGAGAAAGGTAACATGGGTAAAAGAGACTAGAGGAGAAAACATCTATTGGCCATACGCTATACTGCAATTCAGTTCCATCAGATTCCTTCGACATCCACTCAAAAGATGAGAGGTACAACTAAGCAACCACCCTAAGAGTTTCAAGAATGAAATCTGGGCTTTCATCAGAAAAGGGTGAAATTTATAAGTCTCTGGAAAATGGAGTTTTTCCAAGAAGGTTCAAAGATGACAGACTAAAAATCTAATGAAATCAAAATGGCTAATCACTCATAGGAGAGACACACATGCATTCACAATACTAAGGCTCAATACCCAGTAGATGAGTTGACATCTTCCTCTTATTTATTGTACAACTATGTATCAGTATCACTGAGAAGTCTGAAAACACAGGCTTCTGGACAGAAACATTAAATTTTACTCTCTTGGGGAAAAGGAAAAGGGCTAGGAGTGGGTATTTTTCTTAAGCTTCCCAAATATTTCTGCAAACCACTTCACCTTAGCATTTGGACATCTCTGCATGACATTTCTTCCTCTTAGTATCATATTCCCAATTACACTTGTTTTTGGTTTGCAAAAAAAATCATTTTACTAAAAGAAAATCTGTATTAATCAGATTCATGGAAGAAGTAAATAAATGAATATTCTAAAAAAGTATAAAATTTGTAAATGTTTAAAAAAAGAAAGTGAATATATTTGTAGGCATAGACTATGTCTCAGGAATAACAGAACTCACTAATTTCAGCTGCCCCTTTAGAGGGCTAATATTCAGGGGCAGGAGAAACACTACACTATATGTTCTTTGGTACTTTATTCATTGTGAGTCATATTACCTACTGAACAATAATAAAAAGAAAATTTAGAACTGTCATACGGATCAAAGAGATATGAATATTAAAAATAAAAACCAACTATAAAAGACATCTGTGGGACACCTGGGGAATTGTGAATATGAACTATATGATTACAGCATTACATCTTTATAAAAGATAAAATCTATTTAAATCTATAGAAATCTATTTCATGTTCTAAGAAGCATATGTAAACATAACAGAGTTTTTATACTCAGGAAATTCAACACTGATTTTCTTCTTCTTTTTTTTTTTTTTTAAACTTTGAGACAAGGTTCTTGCCTAGGTTGCCAAGGCTAGTCTTGAATTTGCAATCCCCTTGCCTCAGCCTCCTGAGTAGCTGGGATTATAGATATACACCATCAACACTGGTTTTCTTTTATCTTTAAAAAAATTTTTTTTAGTTGTAGATGGACACAATACCTTTATTTTATTTATTTATTTTTATGTGATGCTGAGATCAAACCCAAAGCTTCAAACATGATAGGCAAGCGCTCTACCACTGAGCCACAACCCCAGCCCAATGCTGGTTTTCTATAATCATATAATATATATTTATCAGATAAAATTTGATTTGTTTTGCAGTACTCAAGTTTGAAACCTAAGCCTTGCACATGCTAGGCAAGTGATCTGCCACTGCCTTCATCCCTCGCCTCGATTACTTCTATCTCTTGTACATAATTTAATTGTTGTTTGGAAGTAAGATACAAGATGATTGCCTCTTACTTCTAAACAATAATAAAATTATATACAGAGAGAAAACAAACATGGAAAATTTTAACAATATATAAATCTAAAAGAGATATTTATATGTGCATTGCACAACTGTTTGTATTTTTAGTAACAGCTTTACTAGTATTTCATTCATGTACCATAAATATACCATAAAATTCACCCATTATGAGTATATAATTAAATGGTTTAGCATTTTCATAGAATTATGCAACCATCATCACAATCAATTCTTCTTGGGTGTATACCTCAGAGTAGAATTGCTGGTCATATGGTAATTGTGTTCACCATACTATGCCTGCAATTTTTCTATTGAATTAAAAACTCAAAATTAAAAATTAGGGGAAAACTTTAAGAAATAATAAGCACAAGAAAAGAAAAGAAATAATAAGCTTACAGCTATAATCCCAGTGACTCAGAAGGCTAAGACAGGAGGATCACAAGTTCAAAGCCAGCCTTGGCAAAAGCAAGGAGCTAAGCAACTCAGTGAGACCGTGTCTCTAAAATAATATATAAAATAAGGCTGAGTTCAATCCTGGGTGGCCCCCCTCAAAAAAAAAAAAAAAGGGAAATACTAAAACTTAAAAATATATTAACCAAATCATCTTGTGCTCTGACAAAATATGGACATTACATGATTCTATGTAATACATAACTCTTATTCTTAGCAGAGGAAGGTAGTAAGTGCTTACCATGACTCCTGAAGAACCAATTTTATTTAGTGACTTGCAAAATGATCAATGGAGGGAAGTTACTTATTTGGAAAATAAGAAACATCTTAATATTTTATACAAGCAACGATGCATCATAAAAGAATATAAGCTCTATTTAGGATGTGGTTCAGTGGTATGTATAGTGCATACTTAGCATGCAGAAGGACTTGAGATTAATCACTAGCTCCAAAAAGAAAAATAGAAAAACAAAAAGAATATGATTCTAAAGGTAGAAGAGGAGGAAGAGTGTTTAACTTCTATGAGATTTCATACAAGGAGCATTATCTACACCTAAGATTTAAATCAGATAATATATATAATATATACCATAGGGTCTGTCACACAGTAGTTGCTCAATATGTGCCAGATTCCTTAATAAATAAACAAATAAATATTCCCACCCTCCATTTATATAAGCTGTAGAATCAATTGCCGCTTTATTAAAGAAACATTGACATTTTAGTTTTGAAACAGAAAGAAATGCATGAGGCTACTTTCAAATTGTTTTCTCCAATTCTAGCCTTTCATCTGAGTCCTAGACCCTAATTTTCAACTGCCTGCTTAGTCTCTACTTGAAAATCTGTAGCAACTCTAACTCAACTTGCCCTGAATTTTTGCTTTTCTTTCTAAACTTCTCCCCTTCTTGACTTCTCAGTTCTGTAAATGATATTATTATTGGTGGAGCAAAGCTCCAAATCATCTTTGACAGCCAAGACTTGTAGACTTCTGGTCATCAGCTTGTTTCCTATTGTCTTGCAACAATGTGGAACCACTACCACTTATTGGACTATCTACCCTTTCCTTCTGCAATCACTATCTTCACCATCCCATTACACACTCCAGTGCCACAGTAATTAGTCTAAGGTAAAGATAAGGGTATTATACTTCCCTGTTCAAAGAACTTTTCATAGTTACCCATTACTTTAAAGTATAAACTCTCAACCAGGATAAAAGCTATGTACTGATTCATTCAGCAAACATCTACTAAGCACCTACTGCCTCATTATCAAGGTTATTGAGAGAATGATGTGGTAGTGAGCACATTATTTTAGGCAGATATCAGGTGCACAATGCGTATTTGGTAATAAATATATTAAATTTTAGTGGGGTATAAACAGACTGTCCCTGTCACCAAAACATCCTTTGATCATTGCTTTGTGAGCCTGGTCTTTCTTCTCAGGTCCACATTTACCTAACAGTATTCTTTGCCTTTTCTTATGTAGGATATCTCCTCATGTTTGGGGCTTTTTATTTTTCAAGTCTTTACTTGGTAAGGTAGAAGGATTCATTACATTAGTGTTTTAGGCAGGACAGTGTGGATGAACATTAATATTTGCTTCTAATGGGATGTTTTTCTGCAATTTTCTCATGTGTACAATAGCCCCCAGACCCAGGAACAAGCTCTTGGGCATTTTCTTCTAGAGTTCAAAATTAAGAAAAGAAAAAACTGATGCTCTAATTATTTTCACTTCAAGGTAATCAAGATTTTCTCCCTGAACTTATAAGATATTTATTTTGCTTGAAATTAAAAGTAATTCACAATAATAAAAAAAATCCACCTTTCTTTTTTAAGCAAACATATCTGATTTCATATCCAAAGGGTGGCATTCTTCAAAGAAATCACTCTCCAATCATTCCAATATACAATTATCTAGTTGCTATTATGTACAAGGCACTATGCCAGGCTTCAAGGAAGCAAAATAAAATTTGGTTATTTGCTTCAGTGATATTCACAGTGCTTCTAAAATTCTTTTGGTATTACACTTTGGGCCATTTTGCAGTGAGCAATGCAACATAACTGGTCTCATTTCTGTAGAAAAGCAATATCCTTCAAACAAAAGCAATTTTACAATTGGTCAACATCTTTAAAAAAAAAACTTAATATTCTCCTTCAAACAACTTTTTAGTTATCAAAAAAAAAATTAAGTATGCCTCCTCAAAAATAGATGCTTGTCTACACTAAGGAAGTTTGAAAACAAAAAACAAAACAAAACTATATATGACTCTGAAAGAAATTACAAAGGAGATCCCAACACATGTTAGTAATTGCTACATCAGAGTAACAACTTAGCTGATTAATTTGAAAAGGACAATACATGGTATGTTAAAAAGTCACATTACTTTATATAGTTTCCTTACTCTTAGAACTATTTCATAAGCAGCAAAATCAATTTATCATACAACTTTAAAGAATTATTTCATTCTCAATTTTTGCTATTGCTTAGAGAAGTATCTGTCCAACATGGTGTTAACTAAGCTCAAAGGTGCCTAATCTATTCCTGTTGATTAATTAATATAAATAAAATGGAATATAGTTATTTCTTCATAGATCTTAGTGTGAAAAAAATTCAGAATCTATGTGGTAATAAGAGGGCTGCCACATTTTCTCCCTCCCTTCTGCCCTACACTGACCTGGAGCTGTATTTCTTGAGGATGGTGTCCAAAAGGCCAACAAGCTCTTCAGCGTTGATGAATTTCTGTGTGCTAAGTGTGTACATCTTCTCATAGAAGTCTGCAATCTCCATCCGAGCCTGAACGAAGAAGCAGAGCTGCTCTGACAGATGGGACAGGAGTTCTTCCACATGAGGTGCAGTCCCACCTAGGGCCCCACGGCCAGTCACCACCTTCTTCAGCTCATTATGCAGGGAAGTATAGATGGTGCGGATGGAATCCTTCCGACTGAAGAAAGACTGGCCCCCTGGCGGGCAAAGGACATAAGCACATGACAGGTAAAGAAGATAAACATAAGTGCCAATCACCTCCCAGCATTCAAAAGGAAAGAACCAGAACCCACAGAACTCAATGAGTTTACATCTATCATATTTTCAGATTTTTGGTTGAAATACAAATATTTTATGATTCATAATTTCACTGAGGAACAAGTTAATTGAATATATTATGCAATTCATCGGTGTAGCAGTGGACCCATACAGGATTTTTTTTCACCCACATTCCAATTCTCCCCATTCTACCACTCCATTTCAATAAGCATTCAGATTTATTTAAGAGCACAATTAACCTACAAAATAACATTGATATGGACCTAAAAAGCCCTCCTCTCACATAAATATATATATAAAAAAACAACACCTGAATTATTAAACACTTGTTATTTCTGGAGATTAGAATTTTCTGTTTCTGCTTTAGAGTTGCATTTCCTTTGACTCTTAGTTTTTAGGCTGTGCTAGAAAATGGAATACACACATCCCTTTTATGCATGAATACCTACTGGGATGTCAGGGGAAAAAAGAAAATCTCAGCACTCTTGACAATATAGGTTATGATATGATAAGCATCACCCTCTGAATTATTAAGATCATGAAGCAATTATAAGTAGCTGCTGCTGTAATTCAGAGATTCCAAATGAAATAAGCAGAAACTAAGACTAACTACAGCCTACACAACAGTCAAAAAGGATCAAACAGCATAGATACCATTTACTTCTGTATTTATACATTATCAATTATATTTCTAATTATAAAGTTAGCTTTGTGGATAATTTCTTAAGCAACTCAGCACCCCACCAAGGAGCTAGAAGCAGGTCATGTTTAAAACAGTGATTTATAGGAATATTTTTTTTTAATTCAGAGACCAGTGAGTTTAAATTTTCTGTTGATAAACCTAGAGTGTTATAATGAATGAAGTATTATTCTATACATATTAAATAAGGGTAAAAATCATTTATCAAGGCATTTGTAAAATACTCACTTAACAATAAACTATTTCACAATATTGTTTTTAGTTCACTACATGGTTAATGCTTCAAGAAATAAAACTTTGCCAGGCATGGTAGTGCCTGCCTGTAATCCCAATAGCTCCAGAGGCTGAGGCAGGAGGATTGTGAGTTTAAAGCCAGCCTCAGAAACTTGCAAAAAAAAGTTGCAGGGCCCTAAGCAACTTAGTGAGATCATCTCTCAAAAAAAAAAAAAAAAATATATATATATATATATATATAGAGAGAGAGAGAGAGAGAGAGAGATTGTGTGTGTATGTGTGTGTGGATATATATATAACACGTTATATGTGTATGTATATATACTTGTACACATATAACATGTGTGTGTATATATACACACACACCCACACACACACGTATGTATGGCTGGGGATGTAGCTCAGTGGTTTAGCATTCCTGGGTTCAATCTCCAGTACAAAAAAAAAAAAAAAAAATCTTTCTTGTTTTGGGTGTTTTTTTGTTTTGCTTTATTTTTTTACAGTAGGCTAAGGCATATAACCCAGGTATATTTCACGACTAAATTAAATCTCCAGTCTCCCACCCTTTCTTCGAGACAGAGTCTAAGGTGCCCAGTCTGTACTCAACCTTGTGATCCTCCTGCCTTAGCTTCCCCAGTTATTGGGATTATAGGTATGCAGCACCATGCCTGGCTAAGAAATGAATCTTAATATCCCTTACTACTAAGTTGGGTGAATAACTTGTCACAGTTTAGCCAGGACCTTTCCGATTTAGGAACTAAAAGTTTGGCTTCCTGGGAGACTCTTAGTCCAGGTTTATTTTGAGACTGGGTCCAGCTATGTTGCCCAGGTTGGTTTCAAACTCATGGGCCCAGGCAATCTTTCCACCTTAGCCTCTTGAGTAGCTGGGCAGGTGTAGGCTACCACACTCAGCTTAAGTCTAGGTTTTAAAACCAAGTCCTACCTTCTGTGAATCCTTGATTCTGGACAAACTTAATGGTGGTAATCCTTCTTAATATTAACTCTACTACTGATACTGTCTAAACACAATGAACAACACACACCTTTTCTCCTACTAATAGGTGCAAATACCATGACACAAGTAGATCAATCATCACACTAGCATTTCATACAGTAAATGTACCCTGGAGGGTCTGTATTCCTCCCATGCCCATTTTCAGTCTAGTTCTGATTTTCTAGAGTGATGAGAAGAATAAATAGGCCTCTGTGCCCATGTGTAGGACAAAATCTCTTAGGTTAAGAAGGAAATAAAAGTGTCATATAAACTCCCAAATCTTTGGAAGTGTGAAAGACCTGGTTTCAAATCCCAGCTCCCAAGCTTAAAAAGCTGTGTGATGTTCAAACTACCTATCATTCAGAGCCTTAATTATTGTTGTTCAACGTTAACATAAAATTAGTAGCAGGATGCATAGTGCATTCCTGTAATCCCAGCAGCTTGGGAGGCTGAGGCAGGAGGATCACGAGTTCAAAGCCAGCCTCAGCAAAAGCAAGGCACTAAGCAACTCAGTGAGATCCTGTCTCTAAATAAAATACAAAATTGGGCTAGGGATGTGGCTCAGTGGTTGAATGTCCTGAGTTTAATTCCTGGTACTCAAAAAACAAAACAAAACAAAAAACTAGTAATAAAGCTGTTAAAAAGACAAAATTAAATAGTACTTGTAATATGCCTGGAAAATACATGCTCAATAATGCTAGACTCTTTAACTTATAACTGATATGAGAAAATTCCCAATAATATATTATTGAGTTTTGAAAACTCTATAACAAACTGCTACTTGACAAATAGCCAGTTGACCTTAACTGTGTACTCACTTCCACTATCAAACAAGTGGCCTTGGTGAAAATTTTAACTCTGCATTGAAAAACATACTTACCTTCATCAGATTTCCCTTCTCTGGAGGAATGGAAAGACTACATAAAACAGATATCTTTAAAAGCTTATCAATATACATCCACCACCAGTATGTGAAACCAAGCAAATCAAAATCAATATAAGAAAGAGAGAAACAACCATTGCATTTCTTTTAAAAACTCTCATCTATCCTAGTTTGGAATATCCAGTCAGACCTAGTATTCCTCTACACTGGGAAACAAGAAACACTTGATTTCTCTTTCCATTATTTTAAATTTACAAAATATAATTGTTTTGAATTATTCCTAGGAGGCTTTAGTTATGAATGTTTAATATTTTTCAAGATTCCAACAGTTCATCTTGAAATTTTTTAAGCATATTAAAGGAGGATGTAGGGCTGGAGTTGTAGCTCAGTGTTTAAGCACTTGCCTATCACGTGAAGCACTAGATTTGATTATCAGCACTGCATATAAATAAATAAAATAAAGGTCCATGAACAACTAAAAAGGAATATGTAAAACATCTTTTGTATTTTACTCTACAACTTCTTGCTAATGATAATTTTTAAACATCAGTTCTCAAATCATTTTCTACTGTGCCAAATTTAGCAATCAGATTTGAGGTAATTCTCCAGTAACAAAACAAAGGGAACTAAATTATGGCGTTTTAAAATCCTCCACAGGCACTGAATCAGCACATTTTAATCACTGATCCTTCCCAAACAGGTATTATTCTTCCCTCAAAGGAAAGAGAGGTGCTAAGACCAAGAGTCCACCCAAAGTTTTTCAGTAACAGAGCCACAACAGGAACAAAAGACTTCTGTCAAATCTGTCATTTGTTCAAAGGCTTCCACTTGCTTCAATAACCAGAGTTCACTGCTATAGCCTCAGACAAACATCAGTCACAAGATAGTCACTTTTTTTTTTTAATCTGGAACTTGCTCAGACAATAGATCTTAATTGTTCTCACAACAAAAAAGAAAAGAGAGAAAGCATGTGAGGTGATATATATATATATATATTAATTAGCTTAACTGTGATCATTTCACAATGTTTATGTATATCAAAACATCAAGTTGAACATGTTAAATATATACAATTTTTATTTGTCAATTATTCCTCAATAAAGCTGAAAAAGACTTAAGCATGCATAAACTTTTTGTTTTACTTTATAAAGAAAACCATATAAATATTCTAATTAAATATAAAACCATATAAATATTCTAATTGGCACAATAGTTGCAGAACATGAGAATGTTTTAAATTGCAAAACAGAATTTTTTAGAAAATTGACAGTCAACCTAATAATCATGAGGTCCTATTATAATTACACTGACAACACATATGTTCAAAAATATGGACAAAAAACTAAGATATTCGCAAAGTTAAAATTTAAATTCTATAACTTACATTTGCTGCACTATTACTTATACATGTAAGTTATGAAGTACTAAAGTTAAACACGCCATTTTCAGAATATTTACTCAGAAGTGAGGCCATCACCTGGGAGTTTAACAGTGCCTGGGCATGTCTCATAGTGTGAGCTGCTGGGTAGGTCAATTTTAAGGACAGCCCTCAGGTTCACCCATTCCAACTGGAGTTCAAGCAGAACTCTTCACTTTACACAATGGCCACTTCAGAGATCCCAAGTTAGAGACAGTAGAAGACTCATACATATGTTCTTACACATAGGGCAGCCACTTCTGTATACATAAAAACCTGGTTCATACAATGTACAACTAGAATACCAGATTTTTTTTAAAACTGAAGTCCATAAATAGGTTTTAGGAAATCCAACCACACCCTATCAGATTATATGTAAAATTTTGTGTACATATATATTTTTGTTATTAAGGACACAGTTTTCATCAAATCCCCAAGGATGAGCTGAAAAAAGTTTTAAGAATCATGACACTTGGATCAATCACTATTCTTTATAGGTGGGAGAGTCAAAAAACTACAACACTGTCAGAATATTAACTATCTTCAATATTATAGCTAGAATCCTCCCCCATTTTCATAAACATATATATACACATACAAACATGTCTCTATAACATAGTATGTATAAATGATGACATACATACATATTTTTAACAGATTGTAAGGATAGCTCAATCTGACAGTTCAAAGGCAGTTCAGGTTTGAATTCTTCTACTCACAATGACAAACAATTTGTTAATCTGTAAAAAGGGAAATAACATGTAACAGCAATTGCATATTTACCAGATGCCAGTGTGGGGAAAAAAAAAGGAGAAAAAAAATCATACAAGTTCAAACTATCTGACCCATGTTTGCCAACAAATTAACATGCTAAATATTTGAATATCAACACCATAAGAATCTCAAAGCTCAGTCCCTTAAGTGTGTACCAAAAGCTCAATAGATGGACACTATCAGACAATACATGGTTTAAAAATGGAAGTTACGCCCAATTTTACCTTTCTATTCTTATATTGTTTATATGTGTCCTTCATTCACCAGACCCTCTGTGTATCTGATAATTAAAGAGGTTAAAATAAGCCAAATACTAACACATCCCAAAGCTCCAGAATTCAAACCTTTATTACCTTAAGAAATATTTTATATGCACAGTTTTTGGCTCTTACATCTATTATTTCCATATCTACTCAGATTATATATATATATAGTAGATTCAACTCTTTTCAGTAGTAAATATATATTTACTATATATATTTACTACTGAAAAGAGTTGAATCTGCTTTTGCATCTATTTTTGGACATAAGAGATACATGGAGTGCTAATGCTAAGAGCATTTACCACTTTCCTCCTAAGTCCACTTTCTAGTGTTCGGCGTATTTCTTGCCTTCCCTGCCTAATATCCATCTGTTCTTCATTCATTAAATATGTACTGACTAGGAAAACGGTATAGGACTCCATCCATAACACTCAGGGCCTTACCCTTAATAGGCCAAATAGTGTTCATTAACACAATCTGGTTATATTGCCAAGTTTTGCTTCTCTGCAGTGTCACTAGTTGGAAGAACGAGGACACAGGAGTTTGGTTAACTTCTCATTTATGGCACCTATCCATGCACGAGGCATAATGGTAAACCCATCGGTTTGAGGCACAGCCCTGCTAAGAACATCCTCCCAGTCGGTCTATCTGCGACGCAGGCCGATGGGCGGGGTTTGTGGAAGCCAGGGAAGGAAAGGAACAGTGGGAGGAGACCTGGGAATGCAGAGTTGAGCCTGCCGCTCAGAGCGACAGAGACAAGAAACCCAAGCCACTGCCGAATGGGGAATGTACTCCCTTTCCTTCCTCCTCAAGGGGCACGGGGGCGGGGCGGAGGTACCTAGTTTCTGCCCCAGGTAGGTGAGGCTGTGATAGACCTTCTCGGCCGCGGCCAGGTGCGCCAAGGCCGCCAACAGCGACAGCCAGCTGCCCCCCGCGCTCTTGTTGGCCTCCCGTTCCTTCTCCACATTGTCCTTGGCCTTGTCGTAAGAGAAGATACCCAGGTGAGAGAAGAACGTCTCCAGCACCGCCTGTTCCACGGGGACCGGGGCGGCCAGCGGGATAGACTCCCCCATGCGAGCTGCACTGCAGCTCGACCCACGTGGCTGTCCTCTCCCTCGCACTTCCGGGTTCTGAGGGAACAAGCATGCGCACAAGCGTGCGTGAGCGTGGCCGCCCCCAGCGGCGGGTTGCAGAGCGCGTCGCCGCCCAGGTCGCTCCCGGACCTCAGAGAGGATGCACGTGAAAGCCAAGGAAAGGAGGAAGGTAAACCGCCCCTGAGCGCCTTCGGCGCTTCGGCGGAATTCCGACCGGTCGGGCCTTCTATTATGGAAGGCAGCTAATTCGCTGCTGCGTGGAGCCGACCGCGTTCTGAAGTGAGCTAGACGCCCCGCCCTGTGAGCCTGCGTCGTGCTGATGACGCCACGCTTACGTGATGTCAGTTCTTGCGTTAACATCTGGCCCGAAGTCAGGGGCGGAGCAGGAAGACTAGAATTGTGCCTGGAACTGTGCTCACTTTTCCAACAGGGCCCCTAGTTAGCGTGTATTGCCTTTAAACCAACACAAGTGAGTGGCTTGCAGATGAGAAGCCTGACAGGTAAAGGTTTCTATCTTGTCCCCGTCGTCTGATTTCCATCCCGTCACACACCGTCGGTTAACCCCGCTCTGTTCTAGTCGTGTAAGTTTTGTGTAGACCAGCGCCCACACAGTGCTCCCAGACGTGTCTGTTCGGCTTGCCCATCCTACCTAAACGCCAGGCTTCCTGGAGGAATTTACAGAATGAAGGACAAATTAATGTAAATTGGTGCACCTTGTCGTTAAGATTAATTACAAGTTCTCTTGAAGTTTGTGGGTGACCATGAACCCGCCTTGTATTTATGCTCACTTCTTTGAAACACTGCCCACTACTCGATTTTTCCTCATTCTTTCCTTGTCCATGCTTAGTTAGTCATACTGCATTTAATTGCATATATTTATTTGTCTTTTCTGTAATTACTGAGCTACCTAGAGCAGAGACTAAGTTCACTTAACCGTACAATCCTTACATAACAGGCAGCACAGTGATGTTTGTTGAAATAAATGAAAGAACTGTCTCTTTTCGTTTTCCCGCTTAAACTAGAACTGTTTGGTCATGACTAACTTTTAACCCAAATTCCACTAATTTAAATTTTAATGCACATTTGTTGTGCATTGTGCAACTCTTACCTGCCCTGAAGAATGTCATCGGAGGGGACTGGGGTTATAGCTCAGTGGTAGAGCACTTGCCTTGCATATGTGAGGCCCTGGGTTCCATCCTCAGCGCCACATAAAAATAAATAAATTAAAATAAAGGTATTGTGTCCATCTACTAAAAAATATTGAAAAAAGGAATGTAATTGGAAAAGATCAATACTATTAACTGTGTTTGTAGGGCAAAATGTTGTACCTGATAAAGGCGATTCTCTATTTGGAGAGCAGTGTTATCTTTTTGGAAGAATCTGGGAAGCTTCCTGAAGGCGAATGTGGTGGTTGATGAATGAGTAGAAGTTAGTAATCAAAGAAAGTGTGGTACTAGCAGCCAAACTAACAGGCAATGAAAGAGATTACAGAGCTCATAAGACTAACCATGTAGTTTAAGAATTCTTTAGAAAATAAAGGTGGCATCATAAATCAGTGTTTAAAAGAAACCTCATTCAATTAATAGTGAAGGAGACATGATTAACTGTATGAAAAAAAGACTATCGACTTGTTTCCTACAATAAAGAAAATTAAAATGTATTTTTAAAGCACCATAAAGAAACTAGAAAAAATGCAAGTGAATATTTCATTGGTGTAGAGATAAAGAAAAGCCTTATAAATGAATAAATTGGTACAATTTACAAAGGAATTGAATGACTTGACTATATAATTTATATTTATAATTTTTACATGTCAAAGAAAACACGATGCCAATATGGGAAAAATTATTTGTAAATATATGTCAAACAGTTTTCATGTGTTGACCCATCAAGTAAAGTACTTGTGTAGCATATTTAGTCCCCAGTATTAGAAAAAGGAAATAAAAATATTAAAATAGAATTGTCGGGCTGGGGATGTGGCTCAAGCGGTAGCACGCATGCATGCAGCCCGGTTTTGATCCTCAGCACCACACACAAACAAAGATGTTGTGTCCGCCAAAAACTAAAAAATAAATATTAAAAAATTCTCTCTCTCTCTCTCTCTCTCTCTCTCTCTCTCTCTCTCTTTCTCTCTCTCTTTAAAAAAAAAAAAAAGAATTGTCATATGACCCAGCAATCCCACTTCTAGATATATATCCAAAGGAAATATCCACACCCTCCTGATTGTTGCAGCCTTATTAACAATAGTTAAGATATGGAAATGATTTAAATGTACAGACATGGATGAACAGATAAAGAAAATGTCACATGCACACGCACACACGCACACAAGCACAATTGGATATTATTCACCCAGACAAGAGAAAATTTAACTTTTGTGACAAGGATGCACCTAAAGGATATTATGCTACATGAAATAAGCCAGACAAAGAAAGAAAAGTATGTGTGATCTCATTTATATGTGGAATTTTTAGAAGAAATAAAATTGATTTTATTTCCTTTGAATATATACCCAGAAGTGGGATTGCTTACTTTCTAATCAGTAAGAATAAAAGGACATGGATATACAAGTCTCTAAAGGTAATTTAAAATCTTAAAATTATTTTTTAAATGCTCAACATCACTAGTAATCAAAGAAATGCAGACTAAACTACTATATTCTATTTTTGTCTATCAGATTATCAAAAGAAACATTTTACAGTGATAAGCATGCAGTGATTCTGTTCTTATTTTATACTACAGATGTGAGTATAATTTGGCACAAACTTTCTGGAAAACATTTGGCAGTGCATATCAATAAATGAGAATGTATGTGAGTATCTGAAAGTAAAGCAAAGTAGATGCTTAACAAATATCAGTAATACCTATCATTTTTGTTATTTTTTTATTATCAACATCAGACCTCTCGTTCAACAGAGCAGTCTACCTTTCTTTATGTGTATGTATATGTACATATATGCATATGTAACATAATATATGTAGTGAATTAACACATCCATTCAACTCACATAGTTTTGTAGGTGTGTGTATGTGTGGTGAGAATACTTAAAATCAATATTCTTAGCAAATTTCAAGTGATTATACGATATAGTATTAACTGACAATACAGTATTAACTATAGATGACATGATTCATATCAATGAATTTATTCATTAAATGAATCATGATCACTAGAATTTATTCATCTTATAAATGAAAGTTAGTGCCCTTTGATCAAGATCTTCCCATTTTCCCCTACCCTCCAACTCTGGCATTCATTCTACTCCCTACTTCTGAGTTTAGGTTTTTTAGATTCCACACAAATGAGATCACACATACTTTTCTTTCTGTATCTGGCTTATTTCATGTAGCATAATATCCTTTAGGTGCATCCTTGTCACAAATGTAAGATTTCCTCTTTTGTCTGGCTGAATAGTATCCAATTTTGTGTGTCTGTATGTGTGTATATCACATTTTCTTTCTCTGTTCATCCATGTCTATACACTTCATTTCCATATCTTAAATGTTGTGAATAAGGCTACAACAATGTGAGTGTGGATATCTTTTCAAGATACTGATTGTATTTCCTTTGGGATTGCTGGGTCAAATGACAATTCTATTTTGGTATTTTTTTTCCCTTTTATTTATTTTTGTAGTACTGAGGATTAAACTCAGGGCCTTGCACATGCGAGGCAAGTACTTTTCCACAGAACTATATCTCCAGCTCTTTGTGGTTCTTGTTTGTTTGTTCAATTGGTTGTTTGGTTGGTTTTTTGAGACAGGTTCTCACTATTGAGTTGCCCAGGCTTTAAACTTTTGATCTTACTGCCTTAGCCTCCCTAGTAGCTGGGATTATAGGTGTACACCACCACCTTGTCTTTTCACTTTTAACATTTTTGAGGAACCGCCATTCAGTTTTCTATCATTCCTGTTCACTCCCACCAACAGTACACAAGAGTTCCTTTTTCTCCATACCCTCAACACTTATTATGTCTTATGTTTTTGATAGTACTCAGTCCGACAGATGTGGGGTGATAGCTCAGATTTTGATTTGTACTTTTCTGATGATCAGTAATGTTTAGTGTGTTTTCATATATATGTTGTTCCTTTGTATGTTTTTTTTGAGAAATGTCTGCTTAGGTCCTTTGCTCATTTTTTAATTAGGTTATTTATATTTTTGCTATTAAGTTCTATAAATTCCTTATATGTTTTGGATATTAACCCCTTATCAGATAATGTGGCTTGCAAATATTTTCTCCCATGCTGGGGGTTGCATTTTCATTTTGTTGATTGGTTCCTTTGCTATACAATTCTTCCTTTCTAACTTGATTATTATTTATTTTTCTTGCTTTCCTGAGTTTCATATATCCTCACCAATTTATTCTTGCCTTTGTTGCCTGTGCTTTTGGTTTCATATTCAGAAAAATTGTTGGCAAGACCAAAGTAAAGGAGCTTTTTCCCTGTGTTATTTTCTATGAGTTTAATGATTTCAGGTCTTAATAAGTTTTTAACACATTTCAAGTTAATTTTTTTTGTGTTATATAAGGGTATATTTTCACTCCTTTGATGTAGATATCCAGTTTTTAAAATATTATTCATTTATTGAAGAGATTTCCTCTTCCCCATTGTATATTTTTGTGCCCTTGGCAAAGAATAACCTGTATTTGGGGGTTTATTTTGAGGCTCTTTATTCTGTTTCATTGGTCCATATATGTGCTTTTTGACAGTACTATACTATTTTTTAAAATTTTTTATTGGTGTGTTATAATTACACATAACAGTGGGATTTGTTGTTAGATATTTGTACATTCATACAACATAATTTAGTCAATTTCATTCCTCAGTATCTCCCACCATACTATTTTGATTAATATAGCTTTTTAGTATAATTTGAAATCAAGAAGTACATTGACTCTACCTTTGTTCTTCTTTCTCAAGATTGCTTTGGTTTGGTTTGATTTCAGGTATTTTGTGGTTCCATACAAAATTTAGGATTGTTTTTCCATTTCTGTGGAAAAGTGCTATTACAATTTTGATGGTGCTTACAATCAATCTGGAAATTGCTTTACGTAGTATATGTGTTTTAACTATTCATTCTTGCAATCCACAAACATGGAAAATCTTTCCATTTATTTGTGTTTTATTCAATTTTTTTTATCCGTGTCATAGTTTTTAGTTTACAGATCTTTCACCCTCTTAGGGAAATTTTTTCCTAAGTATTTTATTTTTATTTTTGATGGTATTATAAATGAGACAGTTTTCTTAATTTCTTATTCAGATACTGTGTTATTAGTGTATACAATCACAACCA